AAGCGTGACACAAGTGTAGGTATGGTATTGAGAATTCCATTGCACACGTCAGCTCGGTGAAATGTAGGTATGGTATTGAGAATTTCATTGCACATGGTTGCACTAGAAGAGTCAGTTATCTGGAACTGCTGTCCTCACGACGGTTCTTGAGAGGCCCAGGAAAGAAAAAAAAACGAAGAAGATGGAAGACACAAAGTGCTGAGGTAAGGGATATGTCCACTATAGAAGAAGACCAGTCATTTGTACATCTTAACTTCAGTAATTATACGACGCTCAATATAGGACTTAGAATGATAATGTTGCTGTATGACATCTTATAGTAGCGGACTGATATTGTTATATTGACGTGATTAGTGTAGGCCTTAATATAGTAATATTCTAAACTTGAGAAAGAAAAAAAGTCCGTTTATAACATCTTATAGTAACGGACTGATATTGTACCATTGACGCTTCAATTTAGTTATATTCTGAGCATGAGAAAGAAAAAAGTCCCTGTATAACATCTTATAATAGCGGACAGATATTGTACTATTAACGCCTCAATTTTGTCATATTCTTAGTATGAGAAAGAAAACAATCCCCTTCCTTCACAGAATTCTCTTCGTATATAGCCTTCCAAAAAATCAAAATATTAGCCACGTGGCTCTGTTTCAAAACAGAATAAAAACAGTCGTCCAGTGATGGTAATTATTTTTGAATTGAATCACATGAGTAGTCACGAGTTTGTTGAAAAACGATTAAAATGACCTAATGTTTGTTGGTTACATTAGCGACCAATGTCACAGAGATAAATACTGTTCATAACATGCAAACACCTTGGTGAACATTAAAAACAATAATTATGTGTAATGAAGATTTTTCTAAAGGTGTAAACGAATGTTTATCACCCTCGGGTATTGGCTGATCAGTCAGTTCTTCAGATATTTATTGGTTTGTCCGTCACTCAGGTATTGATTAATTAGTCCCTTTCTCAAGTATTCACTGATTACTTAGTTCTTTAGATATTGGTTACTCAGTCAGTCTCTCAGACCCTCGGGTATTTATTGATCAGTCAGTTCTCCAGGTATTGATTAGTTTGCCCATCACTCAGATATTGATTAATCAGCCACATTCTCAAGTATTCACTGATCATTAATTTCTTCAGGTATTGACTGTTCAGTCAGTAAATCATGTATTCACTGGTCAGTCAGTTATTCATGTATTCACTGGTCAGTCAGTTATTCAAGTATTTAATGGTCAATCCATCCCTCAGGCATTCACTGGTCACTTAGTTCCTTAGTTATTCACTGGCTAGACAGTCTCTCAACTATTCACTGATCAGTCAGTACCTCATATATTGATTTATTAATCAGTTCCTCAGGTACTGACTGGTCAGTCAGGTTCAATCATCAAACTCAGAAAGATGGTTGGATATATTTGAGTTCCAACTTCAAAAGTTGGGGCTAAGCTAGAACAGTTACCCAAACATGTTTCGTTAAAAGACCATGAACGATTAAAAACAGGGTTTGTATGTCAAGGAAGCGAGAGATACAGTCTTCTATATCATATCTTATTATACTTTACACTTTTGTTTTCGTACATTAAATCTACCAATTCTATGAAACCTTGGTACTACCTCGAAGAAGGTCCAATGAACCTTGATTACTATTTATGCGTACAAGTCCACTCAATACGGGCCAATGAAGAGATCTAACACTTGCAAGGTAACTTACATTGTTGGGCAACTTTCATTAGATTGTCTAGCTAAGACCAATTTAACGTATAATAGAAGCGAACGTAGTTTTCAAATATCTATAGTTTCAAATTGGAAAAGAACAAAACTACATTTCCATTTCTACCGAACATTATCCAAGAAGGATTAGTTTCTTACCACACCAATGATTAACACACAAGCTTGAACCTCCTATATAGAACGGTTTTTGCAAGTTTTTGTTTTCTCATGTGTAAAATATTAAACGGAATGTCTAAAAGACAGAAGGTGTACGAGAGTTTTACTTGTGTCACGTTTACAGTTCTTATCAATACACAACGTAGAGAGTTTTACCTGTGTCACGCTTACAGTTCTTATCAATACACAACGTAGAGAGTTTTACCTATGTCACGCTTACAGTTCTTATCAATACACAACGTAGAGAGTTTTAATTTCGCCGAGCTGACGTG